ACTGAGGGGACCCGACCACTTGCCTTGATGTCTCCTGGGCAAGCAACTTGCTTGTTCTTGTAGTAACAGTAGGTCTGCCTCTATTGTTTTGTATTTTTCCTGACAGTCTTTCTTTCAAGAAGTATCTTCTGTTCTTCTAGCTGCTCCAGGCTTCCAGATCCATTTTGCACTGTATTCTGTGAGTTGTCAGTTCCTCTTTTGTGCTTATTTTTTCATAAGTTGTTAGTATTTTTTAAAATTTGTTGCTGTTGCTATTGTTAAGTGCCAATGAATGGTTTCCAACCCATAGTGACCCTGTATAGGGTTTCTGAGGAGCAGCTGGTGACCTTGAACCACCGATCTTGCAGTCAAACATCTTTGCAGTTTGGTACATCAACCCACAGCACCACACCAGGACTCCTTTTAAAATTTAGAGGTTCTTTATTAATGTAATTAATCTTTTATCAACAATATGAGTTGGAAATATTTTTCTTATGTTATCCTTAAAATCTTTTTCTTTGTAGTAGTTTTGCTATAAATATTTTTAAAGTCGTATGCTGCCTAATATAGTAACAATTTCTCTGATAGCTTCTGCGTTTGGGATCATATGTACAAAGTTCTATGTACTTTGAACTTTTTTTTTTTAATTCTCATGCTGCTATTAAAATTTTTATTGTTTCATTTTTTTATTTAACTTTTTAATTTTTATTAAGTTGATCTTAGTTATACTTTATTTTTTTTCTGGACTGCTTTCAGAATGTCTCAACCTTTTTATTGAATATTCTGTTTTGTTCCCATTAATATGAGGAGACTTCAAAAGTTCATGGAAAAATTCCATTATCTCTTAACTTCATTTTTCCACAAACTTTTGAATCCCCCTCGAATGTAAGGCCATCTTTATCATACAACAAAGTCTCATGTGTATTATATCGACTTCTGGGATCTCTATTAGACTTATTTGCAGTCCATGTATCTCAGTCATACTATTTTAATTACACTAGATTGATATTTTAACAATTGACAGTTTTCTGAATGTTATCTGTGAGTACAGTAATCTAGACTGCAACCTCAATAATACCAAAATAAAAGTATTAAGTTCTTTTATATTACACTGTTGTTGTTAAGTGCAGTTGAGTCAGTTCCTACTCATTGTGACCCTATAGAGTTTCCAGGGAGTGGCTGGTAGGTTTGAACCATCAACCTGGTCAGCAGTCCAGTGCTCATCCTACAGTGCCACACCAGAACTCTTTTATATTCCATATACATCAATGTTGTTGTTGAGTGCCATCAAGCCAATTTTAACTCATAGTGACACTGTACAGCCTTTCTGAGGAGCAGCTGGTGAGTTTGAACCACCAACTTTGTGGTTCTCAGTCCAGTGCTTCTCCTATGGGGCACCACACCAGAGTCCATATGTATATCTATAAACACAACATACAAATATATGTATGTATTTGTATACAAATATACATATATTTGTATGTTGTGTTTACTTTTCACAGATTGAAAATATCCTTGATGACATAGTTATAGCTATAGGTATGTTGTTGTTAAGTACCATCAAGTCTGTTCAGTTATAGGTATAGGTACATAGATATATAGATGTTGTTGTTGTTGTTGTTAAGTGCTGTCAAGTCGATTCTGACCCATAGAGACCCTGATGAGCCATTAGTAGGTTTGAACCATTGACCATGTAGCTAGCAGTCCAGTGCTTATCCTACAATGCCACACCAGGACTCCAGATATATGGATATTCAGCTATGTTTTCAGACTTCATAGACATCCTGTAGAATTGTCCATTTAAAAATTATGAAATCAATGAAAACATCAAGCATAAATTGATCTATCAACAAATTTTGTCAGAATTTTGAATTTTAATTTTTAATTATAATGAGGGTTTGCTGTGGCCAACTACTGCATCCAAAAATTGGCTATACTCCACAACCCGCACAGAGAGATTAAACCCGAGTAGGGGCAACAGGAGATTAGAAATGAAAAAAAAAAAAAAAAGACACAAGACACAATTGAAATAAATAAAGTTAGGACCAGGTGGGATGCAGCACTCTGATGGAGATACTGTGGCACTGACCAAGGTAGTGACTTTATTATATACACAGCTCAAGGGGAGGTGCTGGGGGCAGGGAAAAGAGTGCAAAAACATCTGATGTTATTGATGCATGCAGTAAGTGGGACTTTATCAGAATAATTTAGTTGCTAGGGAAACAGGGATAGGGCAGCTAGATGTTTTTGCAGACTTGAGCTGAAGGTCATACAAGGAAAACACCTTATAAGTCTCCTGTCCCCTGAGGCAGCCCTGCAAGTTCCTTGGGGGTGAGGCTTGACTTGAATGCAGCCTGAGTTTCTGGACCATAACCATTCAGTTGTAATCCTTAGGTTAAAGTACACCCACGTCAGGGAACCTCAGCTCAGCTGCTCCCAACAAGAGTTGATTGGGGAGGCAGTCCCCCCCCCCCATATCTGTGAGTATTAAATGTTTTCCCAGATGATTTCCTTAGAAAAGATATTTTATCCATTATCCTCCCCAAATTGGAAAATATTATCTCTTTCTTACATTAAAAACCCAGTAGAACTGAGGGAGTTTTTTTTTTTTTTACTTCTTTTGGTCTGTATCTCTTACGTTGCTTTCATACCCCCTCAGAAAAATGTTGGGCAACTTTGCCTAAATCGTCTCTGAACACATTGGTCCAGATGCTCAAAACTGCCATCAATGGTCAAATGACTTTTTGGATTGAAAACAGTCAAAGTCACTATAATGTTAAAGCTCTTCTAAGAATGATGAAAGAAGTATATAAGGTAAGAGCTCATCTAAAGGAATGCATGTATCATTTTTATAAATCAAAATCTCTTAGGTCTCAGCCATTTGTCTTCCTAAGAATTATGCTAAATCAATTATTGCAGAATATTAAATAACTATACTTCACAATTTGTAAGGTACTATGTAAAAGGGAACTGTTTGAAAGAAAATATTTGGAGATTTAAGAAGTGAGCAACCTTATGAGGATTTAGGGAGGTTCTTTGTAATGGACTTCTTTCATTAAGAAAAGCACAGAGATACATGCAACGTGGATAAATCTTACCAGTCTAGTGATGAGCAAAAGATAAGCACACACACACACACACACACACACAAAAGAGAAGCACAAAAGAGTCCATATTCTATGATTTACTTATATCAATTTTAAAAACAGGTAAAGCTATAGTGATAGATGTCAGAAAAGTCATATCTTTGGCTGTAAGGTTGATTGACTTAGGAGGAAATCTGCTAGAAGCTGCTGGAAGTGTTCCAGGTCTTGATGCAGACAGTACTTTCACAAGTGTATATGTGTGTAAAAATTCATCAAACCGTACATTTAAGATTTATTTACTTTACTGAATATATGTTATAACTCAGGAAAGAATTAAATAAAAAGACAAGACTAAAAGGTTTGCAGAGGACTAGGGCTCAAACCAGCTAAGGTCTAATGGATACTGATAAATCCTGTGATTCTAATTGTTGTTGTTGTTGTTAAGTGCCATCGAATAGTCCATATTAAAATATTTGTTCACTCCCACTATAGAAAATCAGGTAAGGCCATCAGGATTTGGCGCTGAGGACATTTGGACCACCCAGAGTGCAAGGTCTATTCTAGTAGGCCTACGTGGAGTCAGTGGCACTGAAAATCACAAGCCTTGTTTATACTGTCCTCCTGCTTTTTTATCTCAACTGTAATTATCTCAACAAAAGAGGAATCAAATTGTGCTTGTAGCAGAGCTAAGAATGTAAGAATATTCTGAGGAATTGACTGAATACCCACAGAAGTCAGGGTCATGTTCCTCGTATAATCCAGCTTCTATGATTATTTGCTCAGCATCAGATTAAATAAGTATGGTGAAAGAATACAACCCTGGGACACACCTTTCCTGATTCTAAACCATTCAGTATCCCCGTGTTCTATTCTTACTGACTCTTGGTCTATGTACAAGCTCCTCGTGAGCACAATCAAGTGCTTTGGAATACCCATTATTCACATTGTTCTCATAGTTTGCTATGGTCTACACACTTGAAAGCCTTTACATAGTGTATCAAGTTAATATTCATTAACTAATATACACATATATATCATATTACTAATATAAAATGAAATTCACTGGTCACATTGTCTTTAAGGTAAACAAAGCTAACTCTCAACTGCCTGAAAATGCTTTTAATATAGATGAACTCTCCACATGGCTCAACTTCTGTACAGATAAATTCAGACTATGCTTACAAAATATGGGCCAGGTAAGAGTCACAGTTTTACTTCTGAATATGTTTGCATTTTAAATGGGATCCATTAGTAACTGTATTTTTGTTGTTGTTAAGTACTGTGGTGGAGTTGTTTCTGATTCATAGTGACCCTGCACAGGGTTTCCAAAGCTGTAAATCTTTACAGAAGCAGAAAGCCTCATCTTTCTCCCATGGAATGGCTAGTAGTTTCAAACTGCTGACCTTGAGGTTAGCAGCCCTATTTGTAACTACTACACTACCAGAACTCCTTTAGTAACTGTATAGGTATCCTGAAAAATCAAGATTTGAAAACTATCTCATTGCATTGTAAAATTTTCTAAATTAGATGATTTGATTGTTGAAAACGTGCATGTCTTTCCCTCACAAGGCACATATATTTTTAAAGAAATGTGTTTCTCAATCATTTGGATTCTTGAGAATACAGCCTAAAAGTATAAAGGGAAAGAATTTAAAGTGAAAAGGTAAAGGAATGAAGATTTTCTCCTTTTTTATTATTATCAAAACTGTTTTGCCTGCTTATTTTCTAGTTACCTAAAGAAAACTTCAGTCCAGTTGTTTTCAGTGCCTTTCCATTTACCTTTAATTTTCATTCTAAAATGAAATTATTGGCAGCGGATTCATTTTTTAAAATGCAGGTATGTGTCTTTTTTAATTATTAAAAATTTCAAATGTATACAATAAACCTCAAGATTCAATAGTTATTGGTATTTAACTATCTTTTCTTCATTTATCACTTCTGATATTTTTGTAGTTACTGTTTTTGAAGGATTTTTTTAAAAAGTAACTCCCACGTCCAATTTATTTCCATTTATCCATAATTCATTATGTTATGTTTAGTTGTCTCATTTCTGTTCTTGCTAAGGTTTATTAATTGACTCAGGTGGTAACCATATGTTTTTCCATCACAAAGTTTCCTATAAGCCTTTTATTTAATAATTTCATCCATTTATGATCTTTGTCTATATAGCATCTTTTTTTAAGGTTTGCAAAATATTCCCACTCCTCACTTATTGACATGATAATTATGCAAAAATCAACATTGTGCGGAAAATGGAGAATAAACATATTGGATTACAAAAGGAGGGATGACTATGTCATTAAATAACTACCAAACCACTGAAAATTATGGCCCAACCGCATTGACACTTAACCTTAACTATCATAGCCAACATTACTCTTGCCATACACCTCAGCATTTGTTACTGTCAGATGTGCATTGTTAGTATGCAAAATAGTTGGCAGTAGGTATTTAAAATTTTTATGGTAAGTATAAAGTGCCAGATAATGAGACAGTCAATAAATGTGAAGTGGGTGTAGGTGTAGTGATACAAGGAAGTTTCAAAACATTCATGGGAAAATTCCATTTTTTGAAGCCCCTTGCATAAGCTTTCCAAAATTAGTAACTGGGAGTCTGTGAAGAAAATTTCCTTGTCAATCAGGGCTATTTGCTTAATCTATAAAACCATTCACTGCAATGGAATGCAGTATCCTTTTTCTTTAGTTACCAATTTTCATAAGGAGCTGTTTGTGCTAAAGTTAATTTTAATGATAATGAATAAGATGTCATTTTTGTCTGTATCTTTATTTAAATATCACTAAGGATTTGTATATAGCATTAAGGACTTGTGTATTTTTTTTAATTTACTAAATAAAAATACGTATTTGGAAATTCTTTTTCCAATGTGTACCCTTTCATCTGGCTCCCTTGGCCATATTTCTTCAAAAGCTTCCTTGCTTTCTGGCATAACAAGCTGTTCCAGGCTAATTGTATGCATGTTCTGTCTCAACACTGGAATTGCTCTTTGCTGCAAGGAGCCCCAGCTTCCTTTCAGAGGGAAAGGCATTTGGCATTTATAATCCAGTCAACAGAATACCAATTTCAACTGAGTTGCCATTACTTCTAGGTCATCTCAAGGACATAACTTGAACTTACACATTTTTGTAAAGAGGGGGAAAAAAACTTGGCTTGTTAATGATGTTTCCAATTAAACTTAAAATTACAGCCTCTGGAAGAACTAGTACAAAACTTGTGCTTACACCAGAAAGCACACAACACTAACCACCACCATCACAACAAAACATGAAAACTGGACATTGTATATGTAACAGCTGTTTTCATATACTGGGGAAATTATTGCTGTTCTTGATAAGTGCCGTAGTGTTGAATCCAACTTATAGCGACCCTCTATAGGGTTCCCAAGAAGCAGCTGGTGGGTTTAAACTGCTGACCTTGTGGTTCACAGTTCAGTGTTGATCCTACAGTACCATGCCAGGAGTCCTAGTAGGACAATAGGCAGTTCATTATCATTTGAGGATGACCCTGAGTTCCTCTGGAGGCAATTTCTAGATGAGAATGCAGAGAGGAGAGACCAACAAGACTATGACAGCCTCCCGAAGTGATCAGTGTTTGGGGAAGCTGAGGTGGCAGAGTACAAGACAGAAAGGAACTCTGTGTAAATGTGTTCTGAATGTCTGACTGAATAATGATCCTGGCACGCAGCAGGCAGAACTCTCTGCAAAGCAATTCTAAGAACAGCTGCCAGGAGGTTAACAGTTGAGCAATTCCTAGAGCTAATACAGGCTGGAAGACATGGAAATTCTCAGCATCCAGACTAAAGACACCTCACTGAACACTCAGGACAACCATAGAGGCCTGAGAAGGGTCACACCTCTTTATTAGGGCTAAACTAGACCTAGAATAGTAAGTCCTGGTGTGACACTGTAAGATAAGCTCTTCTTGATCTAGTATGCTGGTTTTTGCCTTAAAGTTTATTTTATCAGAGATTAGTGCTGCTACTCCTGTTCATTTTTTATTGCAATTAGCTTGGTATATTTTTTTCTATCATTTTAACTTTTAATCTGGTTTTGTCTTTGTGTATAAGGTGTGTATCTTGCAAGCAGCATATTGAAGGGTCCTGTTTTCTTATCCATTCTGTCACTCTCTTTCTCTTAACTGGTGCATTGAATCCATTGACATTCAATGTAGTTATCGATAGGTATGAATTAATTGCTGTCATTATGTTAGTTTTTTGTGGTGCTGCTCGTTCCTTTGTTCTGCATGCCTTCTTGTGCTGAGTTCATGTTTTTTTGTACTATTTCTTGTCAGTTTCTTCTTAGATTTAATGTTCCCATGTTCTTCTTGGATCTTCATTTTCTTGGTATGCTGTGAAGTATTAATTTTCTTTGAGGTTACCCTATGATTTACTAACTTTCTCTTCCATCTGAGTTTATTTTATCCTGAAATCTACCTGACCTTCTCACCACCTAGATCTCTGCTCCTATATTTTCTCCTTCTTTAACATTGTCATTATTTTGCTCTTTGACTGACTTCCCAGGTCCTCTGAATTCGTTGTTGTAATTTTGTTCTATTCTGGACACTTTTATCTGTCGACTGGGTTCTGGGTGGTGCTGCCACACTTGTCAATCTCTGGTTGTTGTCTGTTCATGTTTAGTCAAAATAACTCCCTTTAGGATGTTTTGAAGTGGTGGGGGTGGCTTTGCCAAAGTCTCTTTGCTTCTTTTTATCCTGGAATGTTTTGTTGCTCTGTCAAATTTTATTGACAGCTTTGCTGGATAGATGATTCTTGGTTGGCAATTTGCTTCTTTTAGGCTTTTATATATGTTTCCCCACTGCCTTGTTGCCTGCATGGTTTCTTCTGAGAGATCCGGCTTAATCTGATTTGTTTGCCTTTGTAGGTAACACTTCTCTTTTCCCTGGCTGCTTTTAGGATTCTCTCCTTGTTTTTTTATTTTGGAGAGCTTGATTATGATATGTCTGATATGTCTTGGTAATTTTCTTTTGGAGTCTATCCTTCCTGGGGTTTGTTCAGCTTCTTGAATACTTATCTTTTCATCCTTCAAGTTGCATGGGAAATTTTCTTCTAGAAGTCCTCAACTATCACATCTGTGGAAGGAGAAGATGGAAAAGCTCCATATCATCAGTGAAGACAAGGCCAGGAGCAGACTGTGGAACAGACCATCAATTGCTGATGTGCAAATCTCCTCTGTGGACTTGTGTAATTCTTCCTGGTCTGGAATGCCAACAATTCTTAAGTTATTCCTCTTCATGTTGTCCAACATGAATCCTTGACTCTCTTCAGATTTTTTAAATCCTTTTCTCTTCTTGCTCTTCTGTTTTAGCAGTATTGAGAGATTTGTCTTCCAGCTTGCTGGTTCTGGCTTCCATCACTTCAATTCTACTCCTTTGTCCTTTAGTGTATTGTCCATTTTTGATATTTTATTATTAATCATTTGGACCTCTTTCTCAGGTTTTGAATTGTTTCCAATACTATACTATCTTTTTTTTTTTTTTTATTGTGAGGTCTACATGGCAGAACATCAGCTTTACACTCATCCTATCGTATTTCATTTCATTGCAATTATTCCAACCCCCTCCATGTATCATCATATAACCCCAAAGGATACACCATGCAGGCCCATCCCCATCTCCCCAGCTGCCAACACACAGGCCCTCTCCACCCCTGAGTCCAGTGTCCCCAGCTGCTTCATCTGTCCACATCATCTTCTCTGTCTCCATTCCTTGTGTCACTGCCTCTCTGGGTAGGGTCCCACTCTCCATTCTTCTCACTTGATGGGATCAGGGAGCTCCACTCTTGGGCTGCAAAATCAATCACTCTCCTCCTTTTGTCAAAAAAAAAAAAAAAAAAAAACTACCTTTAAATTTCTTAACCTCACAGTCAGACCTGTTGGTGATTATTCATTATTGTACCACAAGAGTCTTATCCCCATTTCCTTTTGCCAGCCTGGTCCCAATGGATTGGATATCATTCAGTGATGGTTCTATTTTCCCCAGCCCCATCTGGAACTAGGCTCCCTCTTGAAAGCTTGTAAGCCAGTCACTTCTTGTCTTTATAGGCCCCTCATTTGGGGTAGCCAATGTCTATGTTGCCCATCCTTGTCAGTCCTGTGTACCGAGGGGGTGGGAGTGATCCTTGCTGTACTACTTATGTACTATGTCCATAAGTAGAGGTAAAGTTCATCAAATTGTAGCAGCTTACTCCCCCCACCCCCACCCCTTCTTTCTTCTTCTAGTCGAGTTCTGATCATCCAGCCATAGAAGCCAGGTCAAGTGGGTACTATCTGCAAGTATGGGTGTTCTTGTACATCTCCCCTCACTTCATATCAGCTGGACACTACACTCTCCGCTCTAGTCCTCTGTGGCCATATCACAGGGTCCCAGAGTCCCTGGGTTTGATGGACTGATGGCAATCCAGGTCTCCAGCCGGGTTCATGAGGGTCTATAGAATGTGGTGAAGGCTCAGCTCGAAACTTCATTGCTGTTTTTTTCTCCTCTTCCCTTATCAGTGACCAATGCATTCACCAGCCAGACCACATGCCTGCTCATGTATTCCCCTTGAGTCTCAGTCTTGGAAGTGGGTTTACTCGGAGGGGTCCTGACCACTTGCCTTAATGGCTCTTGGGCAAACAGCTTACCTGTTCTTGTAGTAATCAATCAGACTGCCATTATTGTTTCAGATTTTTCCTACCGGTCTTTCTTTCACAAAATATCTTCTGTTCTTTCAGCCAATCCAGGCTGGTCTACTCATCCTTTCCAGTGGAAATTTTCTACCTCAGTCAGTTCTGCATGGAGTTCTTGATTCCACCTATGGTCTTG